GGCGCGCTGAGGGCGGCCATGGCGCTGCGGGCGCTGCTGGCCGCGTGCGGGGCGCTGCTGGCCGGCGCGCGCGGCCACAGCCTCTTCACGTGCGAGCCCGTGGCCGTGGCGCGCTGCGCCGCCATGCCCTACAACATGACCTTCTTCCCCAACATCATGGGGCACTACGACCAGGACACGGCCGCGCTCCGCATGGAGGTGAGTCCCTGCGGGCGGGAGCCCCCCGGGATCCTCCCGGCGCGGGCAGGCACAGGCCATGGGAGCCGCCGCCCCGGGAAGCGCCCGGATCGGGCGCGGAGCGGCGCTTGGAATTCGCTTGCTGGGAAACTGCTGCTGCCTTGGCCTGTCRGAGCACAAGGGCTGCAAAAAACTGCTCAGAAATTGCGTTTTGTTGCTGCTCTCGGCTTATGTGCAGCCCACTAAGGATAAATCCCCCCTAAGGATAAATCCCCCCTGAAGATAAATCCCCAAACTCTTCTCTTCCAAATCTATCGAAGATTTTTTTTTCCCCCGAGATTCCCCACTCCAAGATTTTTCCACTTTTATTCTCCTTCTCCACTGAGTTTTTTTGCTTTCTACTCTCTGTCGACTTCAAGGGAAACTTTCCTGTTTGTTTGCAAAAAAGCTTCTTTTGCATAACCTGGCTTTAGCATCCGGCTCCCTGGAGAAAAGGCCACCTCGTGGAAAGACTTTGCCAGTAATAATAGCCGCAGAGGTGAGAGCGTCTCTGGGTGAGAGGCTTGTAAAACGAGTTTTAAACCAGTTTTAGTAATGGCTTTATAGTGGTAAGGGGAGGGGAAACCTCTTAGCCCGAGTCTTGAAAAGCTCTGTCTTATGTTGTGCAAAAAGTGAGTGGAAAATTAAAATGTTTATGGGTGAAAAGTTAAAAGTAACATTGGAATTACACACACACGCCCCACATATATTTTTATATATATATATATATATATATATATATACACTTACCGCACCTGGAAAATGTAGGGTCAGTGTGCTTTGGTTCGGTTGCCAAAACGTTTGTTTAGTGGGTTTTTTTTTTCCTGTTTTGTTTTTTCCTGTATTCCCAGGGTTGCCACCTTGGCCCGTGGCTGCAGGAGCGCAGGCCCCYGCCGGGTCTCCCCGTGGGGAGCTGTGGAACTGGGTGTCACAAGATGAGCACGTGAGCATGTTCATGAGCATAAGCCGTATGCCCTGGATGTGGAAGGGAACCYATAGGCTTCCCCGTGCCAACTTCATGCCGCCTCCTGCGATCATCGTGTGTCTGGAATGTGTCCTTGGCTYTTGGGCTCTTGGTCCCTACCCGACGTGGCTTAACTGTGGGTGTTGAGCCGGCTGTCGGGTGTTGAGCCGGCTGTTGTCAGGATTTATGCCTTCCAGCCATGCTGCTGTTACAGCAGTTAGGCTGCAGAGCCACTTTTGTTTGGTCTTAGTTTTCCAGACTGTTGCAAACTTGTGCCTAGTGCTTTTCTCTCGCGTGGAAGGAGCCTCTTCTTGAGGGAATTCCTGGTCTATCTGTGCTCACTGCACACRGTTGATGAAAACGGTGTGGTTGCAAGTTCTGTAGCTGCTTCTTTCTTCCATTCTGGCTCGGTCTGTGCAGCAGGTTACTCAGCCAACTGACCGGAGGCTCTTTGGAGCTCTTTGCTGTCAGGGTTTGGGCTGTCCCTTCTCCATTCTTCATGTGTCACTGCCACAGCCTGGCCTCTAATCTTGTGCAGCTCACTGCTGTGATGCTGTGTAGACGCTCCTCAGCTGCTTAATGTGTGGGTGTGCTCGTCTGCCTCCCTTCATTTCTAATTGATCAGTGCTGATTGATTGGTTGGTTGGTCGAAGGGAATTTTCTGATGATCAATAACAGCACCGGCCCAGTCTTTGCACAGGCCACTGCAAGAGCAGAGAGTACCGGGATCATCAGGTTCAGGTGTTCACAGTAAAGACAGTGGAACTGTGGATTTATTTGGAATATTGTCTAATTCCATTTAACAGCCATAAAGAGACAGCAGACTGGGAGGTTGAAGAGACATCTGTTGTTTTAAGAGCTTGAATTTTTCTGTAATTGGTAGTGCAAACTTCACTCATRCTGAAGAAGGAATTTTAATAGTATGTTGGTCTTTCTTTTGATCTCCAGTAGGAATGCTGAAAGGCTTTGTGTCTCCTTTTTTTTTTTAATTCCCTCTCTCTTTTTTCCCATCCCCGCAGCTTGTTTTCAAGACGGGGCATGGTCTTAAAATATAAACACTGGGGTTGAGTTTGAGGCTGGTATTATCTTTCTCACTTTAGCTTAACTGATTTTGAGCAGGCTATTTATTCATGCCATCCCAGGGTGTGTGGAGAAGACTTCTTTAAAAGTCTGTACAAGAAAGGGATTTCATCTTAGGCTTCTGTCTCCTGTAGAAACTTCTTCCTGTTACTTATTCTGAGCGTTAATTCTGAGAAAAAGCAAAGAAGAGTAGGTAGTGAAGAAGATGAGTCTCTTGAGGGGATGTTCGCTTGCTAGAACTGTGGTAGTTCTCCTCTGTGTGCCATTTCCAAGGCTCCATGKGTGTGTGCTGCTCTGTGGAGGCTTGTACAGCTTCACCTGGCCAGAAGAGCCTTCCGTCTGCTGGAGTACAAGGCCTCTGTGTGGTTTGGGTTGTCTCCCTTCAGCAAAGTTGCTGCACTGGCGCTTTGGGGATGTTGTCTTCATGATGACCCTCTCTGGAGAGGACGATGGGGGGAGTCTCTGTTTCAGGTGGTGACTTTCATCTGGGAAGTCAGATGGGTCTGCAGCTGTTTTCTCCTCTTGCGTTTCTCCCTGATACACCAACTCGGCACAATATACCATAAACCAGAACGCTGAACTGATTGAAGAAAGATCGACCCCATCTGATAGTCTCTGCTCTGGGTGGTCAGGCTAACGGTGATAGTTCTTCTGGGCTCTTATTCTCTCTAACAAAAAAATTCACAATTTGCAGATTTGTTCCTACTCATCCCCAGGTTATATTCTCTTGGATCTTTAGCTTGGTGGAGTGAGTTTAAGTTTTGTTCTATATTTGGGCTAGTTTAGCTAATGCAAATATAGGTTTTAGCAAAATAACGGTGACTTAGTGCCATGAAGTTTTGAGGTTTTGGCCTAACAACTGCTGGACAGTGGAGTGCAGTTATCTGCAGATCTTTGTGTTGCCCCCATCTTTAAGCTACTTGATAGTGAGACTGTTGATGTTGTTGCTAGCTCAAGTTGGGAAGCTGGAGATCTAGAGTTCCTTTCCTGAAGAAAGTGGATGGAGCAGTAGTGCAGAAGCCTTTTGATGTAGTTCAATGGGAACACTTTCCCCTTTTTGAAAACACGTCACTCCTAATTCCAAGATAATTACTTTAACTTTTTGGATTAGGTCCTCAATATAAAGCATTMTTATTCCAGCAAAGCAGAGGGTATTACTCCATGATAATTATTTTGTTTGTATCTCTTAAGCTGTTCTGCTACAGTTCTAGACAAGCACTTAASGCTTCCTGAGGGGTAAGATCCACTGGTCTGTGGCAGTACAAAGGGAAAAGGCTCCCAGCCAGTGACTTTTTTTTTTTTTTTTTGGACAAGCTATACAAAGTACTGGAAAATAACCCATAGAGAACAATAAAGTACCTCTGARGGACTGGAAAAATAATTATTCAGTGTTGATTTTTTTCCATTCACTCCCGAGGTCTTTGATCCTGTGACACAGTGTGTTTGTCTACAGAAAGTACAATGGAGCCGGGCACAGCAGTGGGAGAGGTTAAACTGGCTGCAGTTCTCATACAGGCTACCCAAACTGTTTCCAAAGACCTTCAAAGGTTTGATGCAGGGGACCTGTGTTTCTTCTACTACTGTAATAAAACAGTTTAAATTCTTCTCTTATGTGAATGTAGTTTTCAAAAGCAAACCAAGTGATCACAATTTATTTGCTACAAAGATGCTTACAAAAACTAGAAAACTGATCTCAGTCTAACTTAAATTATTACATGTATATGAGAGGAGGAGGCRGCGGTGGCTGAGAAGAAAATCAAATCTACCTTCTGCAGAAATGCTGGGGAGATGTGTTCCCTGCAGGACCGAGTGCAGTTACGGAGCTGTTCTGCAGAACAGCACGTGGCTGAACGTAGTGCAGCCTGTGCAGACATCCTGCCCTCTCCCACCCAGCCCGTATGAGCAGTGCCTGGTGCACCTCATCCTGTCCCCTCTGGCCTCGAGAATCATCATAGCTGTACTTGAAAACTTAAAACCTAAATAGGTGGTAAAAATGAATGTCTATGATGTACTGAACATCATCGTAGAATCTATGCTCTCTCTTGGAGGAAGATTATGGCTAAAGACTCAAAAAAAAAAAAAAAAAAGGCAGGTGACACTGTCACGTTGTGCTGTTCCTTACTGTGCCCTACAAATAAGGGCAGGGGGAGGGAGTGTTTTGAGGGTTTTGCAGGTGCCTCCTGCAAAGTGTGAGAGCTCTTGGGTGTTTCAACAACAGTTATTTCTTACAGTGGTGGGAAATTTGCAGGACAATCCTRCGTAGTCTCTGCACATCCCTGCCCGTTGGTGAAATTGCTGCCACCAGCTGTTTCATTTATCAGTAGTACCGAGGCTCTTCATCAAGTGTGATTATCCCATGGTCCCTCGTCTGCACCCAGCCAAGCTAGTGTGTGTCATCCTGTTACCCTGGTTTTAGGCGTATCAGTCACCTGCAAAGCCTAATGCTGCTTGTCCAGACAGCCTTCCCAGGCTACTCAATGTGCAAGCCATGCTGCCTTGCTCCCTCTCCAGAAAGGATGCTGCTGGCAGCAGAAGGGGATCCAGCCTAATCCATGCCCAAGAACATGCTCTGTGTCTTCTCCTGTTCATGGTGCTCATCTTCATCCACGTCCAGAAGCCCTGTCTGCACGAGTGCGTAACTGGTGTCCCCGGAGCGGCTCCCTGGCTGAGGCAGCTCCTGCTCCCTTGTTGCTCTGGAGTTTTGCTCTAGTCTGTGGGTAGGTCGGCCGCGTGGGTTGGACATCCTGCTGCACGTGGTGTTGAGGTCGGCCTGGAGAAGGCTGTGCTGCAGGTCTCTCCCTCGGCTGCAGCCCGCCCTGGGACGTGCTGTGCGGTTGTGCTCTCTTGCAAGTAGTGACAACATGTTGTCACCCCTGCAGGGTGTCTCATGTGCAGCTAAAAGCCCTGATGGTTTTTGAGACTTGTTGGGCTGCTGCTC